AAGAAAAAGGCAGAAGGACCCAAAAGTTTCTGCAGCTTAGAGTTTGTTAGGTTCAGTAGAACAAAAAATGTTCACATGCATGCATTTTAACTTCACCATTTGTCACTCACTGGTCAGTAACAGGCAAGCAAGTTAAAGATAGCAGCCTCAAAGTTCTCCTTTACCGCAAACACATATAAGTGCCAAGATTACTTACAATAGTTTATTATTCGTTTTGGATAGTGTGGGAAAGGGTTAGGCCTTCAAGTTATTATTGCGGTCTGTGTCCCCATTGGGGGAGATTCTCTCCTTTTTTTCCTGAGGACTATAGTCACCAAAAAGAGAAAGCAACTGGAAATCCAAAATGGTATAGTCCACAAAAAAAAAATCCTCCAATGGGGACACCCGTTTTGGAGACAACCAACACACCCCTCACTGAGAGATTTCCTTTAACATCCTATTGCATCTCTGGGATAGGAAGGGACGGGAAGTACGCAAGCATTAAAAAATAAACTAACCGTTCCCTACTCTATCCAAAACAAAAAGTTTTGTCTATACATACACTTCAAGAGAAACTTCATAAGAGGAATACTAAATCTTGAAAACAACTTAAAAGGGTTCTCCATTCAAACATAATCTATGCAACAAAGTAGGGTCTCCCATTTGTTCTGATGTTTTGGGACACAATTCCAGATACAACCTACAAAGTCACCAGCAGTGGCATAAAGGTAAAAAGATCATCCTCTTCAGATCCTTTGCCGTCAAAAGTCTTATAAGTCTGAACTCCAGCTTTAAACTTACATATGTACAGTGTATTACAGCGCCTTCCACATAAGAACAGAGACTGTGCTGAGTAACTTAGCCTATGCTTTGAAAACACAGTTGGTCTCACTCAGAACAGTGACCATTCAGAAGATGTCTAATATTTCTTGCAATAAATACTAGGCATTCTCCGATTGGATGAGGGTCAATGCCATGATATCACCACTCATACAACCAGGGAAGTTGCCCAGCACAGTGCCTCTTCCTACAATTGGGAGAGGCTGGGATCGAGAGAGAAATCACACACACACACACACACACGTAAGTGTATATACATTTTTAAAGCTGAAGTTCAGATATGAAGTTAGCATAACTCTGTAAGACAGCAAGCCCAGTTACTTAATCAAAGCCTAGTAGGTACCTACCATGTTACTCACGTGAATCAGAATCATGTGTGACTATTTTTAGCAGGCAACACATATAAAAAAACCTTACTAATTAATTATTGATAGGCGAGAATCATGCAACAAGTAACCAAAGCATTACTTTACCTTCTTGTTTTACACACTAAAGATAGTGAAGTTACCCCAGTAACAAGCTGAATACTTTACTGACTCTCTAGCCCTCTGACTTAAAGAAGAAGAAGTATTTGGAGAGTAAAATATACTTTTTTCCAATACTTACAGCCAGCTTGTGACACTGCAGCTGTCACACATCGGCTCTATAGATTGAGTGCTGACCACTCATGAGAACACTAATCGCTCAGCTTACGGCTTCTCCCTGCAGAGAGCAGTGACCATCAGTCATCACTCCCCGCAGACATTCCCACAGCGCTCATTGGAGGAACAGACAGGGAGGGGGTGGGCACAGCTGGATCTTGCTCTAGAGAGGCAGAGCCAGCTGACAATCAGACAGCTGGGTGGATCTTGACAATATTGTCAGGATCCTTCCAAGCTGCATCACTGCTCTGCGCTGTCAGCATACAGCGGGCAGTAGCCTACTATATGCTGACTTTGGGTCACATCAGGACATTAGCAAATGTACTCCTATACCCACAAAGGAGTAAAGCCCCCGCTCAAAAATAAAAACGGAGGTGTAGCCTACAGACTCCACACATCAGTAAGTAGGCAGGAGAACCACCAGACAGAGCAACCGACAGTCTGAAGGATAGGTGGGGTGCTAAGGAACCAGGTAAACAAAGGGATCCGATTCTATTTTCCAGTTTACATTTGCACCATAACTAAAAACAATTCAAGCAAGAGATGCCAGAAATATGTCAACAGGTTCTGCAGGTTTTCAAAAATATAGAGAGAATAGAGTCAAAGTCGTGGGCCTTATGAGCGTATATACAAACATGTGGCCCAGTTATATTTTCTTATGTATTCACGGTCGTCCATGCCACTTTTAGATGAGAGGAATAAAAGAATTCACTGATGAAAAGGGACTTTGCTTTGTCAATGGTTTTCATGTTGCAAACAAACCCAAAACACTGTGTAGAGCACCCACATCTAAGGTCAAGAATTATTTTGCAAACAACTGATTCCACTTTTCTTACAATAAATCCTGTTCTGATAGTACAGAACACACTTAACATTGTAACAGCTCTGTAGTTATATAGAGAACTTCTTCTGGCAAAACACAAAACTTTACACAGATATACACAGGACAGCTGCACAAAGTTTGCATGACAGTAAGAAATTAAAGAAATAATTGTAAATATAACTCGAAACAAAATTAGAAAAATAAACTCAAACTCAGCGACAACAGAGGACATAAAACCATACACGCTAAGAAAACAATATAACCAGTGGGGGGGACCTTACAATTTCTAAACACAACTATGTATAAACTGGAAACCAGTCCAACAAAAAAAGATCATCACAGAACCAAGATTGCAGAACCAAATTTAAAGTGTATGTCTAGACAAAATGTTTTCTTTCATTTTGGATAGAGTATGCAATGGTTGGAACCTCTGTTGAATTTGTACTTACATTTTTTTATTTTTTTTTACGTCTCTGTACCATTGGGCAGATTTTTCTCTCACTTCCTGTCCTAGAGACACAACAGGAAGTGAGAGAAAATCCTAGAGACACAACAGGAAGTGAGAGAAAATCTGCCCAATGGTACAGAGACGTACAAAAAAAAATTCCCAGACGAGAGTGGACATCTCCTTTTAGGCTGCAATCATTGGAACAGGTACCCCCCATTGGAAGATTTACCCTCACCTCTGCTCAAAACTCTGGCCACCACCCCTCCCTCTGACTCAATCTGCAGCAGCAGTTGAGACAGGGGCATTCCACGACCCTTTGTGATTTATAGCTGGTGGGCCGCCTCTCCACAATTGATTGGGTCAGGAGGAGGGGGTGGTGGTCAGAGTTTTAAGTGGGCTAGGGTGAACTCAGGTGAACTGGGTCTGCCCCAAGCCCAGCCTCGTCACTACTCACTCACTGTATGACAACAGTAAAACGTTGGATCTTTCACTTTCTGTCCTGCTGACAATGGTGACCAGGACACATAAGGGATGTCTTAAGGGAGTAGAGCAAGCTCACTTTGCTGGGGAATATTTCCTTAGTGTAGTAAATGTGGTATAAAATTCAATTTACAAAGAATACCCAATCACTTACAAGGAAAAGGAAAACAGTATTTTTGCTTACACATGATTGGATGATGGAAGTCAGCAGAGGTTCACCACATCTACTAAGCTAAGGGAATATTCCCCTGCAATGTGAAAGTTTACGTTACTAAAGCTAGCCATACAGGGAAAGAATCCTCCCACTCAGTCTAAAGGAATAAACAAGATAAATCACTGGATTCCCCTATCATGGGGGATTCCTAAGCTGTGTGGATGGAGGAATCTCCCTGCCACCTACCAACCAGAACAGTGACTGCATTGGATTTTAATGGAAGTTTGTTGAGCTGGGTGGTGGCAGCAGGGCCACAAATCACCCCAAACTTGAGCCTTGTATGGTCAGCGATCATAAGTGAACTGCCTAGGCTTCCTTAGTAAATCAGAAACAGCAATACAAATCTGACAGGTTCTATTGCCTTTCCCCTCAAACTAGTCATATCTACAGATGCAACGTAACTACCCAAACTTTAAAAAGGAAAACAGAACCCAAAAAAAATAATTTCCAAAGTCAGAAGCGTTGTTAGCAAAGCTTTAGTTTTGCAGTGAAAGGTCAATTTACACACAAATCCATGTTTGACAGTTCAGATTGAACCAGGAAAGGATTCCATCATGGAACATATCAGATGACTGATTCAAACACATGCAGAAAGTTCAGCACTAGACAGACACAAAGCAGATCAGCAGTTGTGGGAGTGATCGCCCGTGTATGTCATGGATAGATCTGCAATGATTGCACAGACAATACAGTGACACACACCTTGCTTCCTGACAGGCATGGTGCCACCCCCCGCCGCACACACACCAACAGGCTGCCAGGAGGATGGTCTCTTCAAGTCCCGCACCCCTTAGCTGGACACTCCGCGAAATAGTAATGCTGGCTTCCAAAGTGCCCCACCTCCCCTGAGCAGGACACCGACAACTCTCCTCCACCTCCCCCCTACAGCGAGGTAATGAGAAAGTCCTGTGCAGTGCTGGAAGCCTCCCCCGGGACTGTTCCACGCACTCTACAAGGGAGGTTCCTAACTCCTCTATGTCCAGTACAAGTAGTGTGATGAGGGCTCCGGCAGTGCTCAGCGTTCCGCTCCCACAACTACGCAGCCGGGGGGACACTTTAGAGTGAGACACAAACTTGTTGGAAGGGGGCGGCGAAAGAAGTTCCCGTCTACTCCTCGGCTGGCTGGCTCATTGGTAGTCCCAGATGAGGGATAAGGAGGAAAAAGTTACTCTCCGCTATGGTTGGCTGTGTTCTTTTTATTTCCCTTTCCAGGGGATCTTTTGTCTTCACTTCTTCTCCTTTTTCTTTTCGCCTTTCTTTCCGTCAGCTCCCCCTGTCCCCCCGCCTCCTTCTCCTCTTCCACCTCCCTCCTCCTCCTCCTCTTCCCAAGCGCTCGGAAAACCCAAACTTTACTCCAAAATGGCGCCCCGGAGCTTGCTGGAGCACGTCACGTGACCGCCCCCTTTCAGAGCCAACGCCGTCTCCGCCAATCAGGAGTGAGCCTCGCCGGGCGGCAGCTCCAGCTTTTACCTTGGCAAGAGAGGCAAGCTTGAGAGTAGACGGTCTCTTAAAGGGGTAAAGGTGAGCGGGTGGGGCCACCCTTCTCCTGGGTCTAACACCGGGTCCAACACCGGGTCCGGTGTTGCCTGGGGGGGAAGAATACCGCCATTGGTCTGTGTGCGGTGTATGGAGAGCAGACTTATATCCTCAGGGACTTAGAAGAAAGATAAACCGTTGCTTTCAGTGTTCAGTCATTTACAAAGCCTCCGAATCCCAGCATAACTGAAAACATTGTTTATAGGAGACTAAAGCCCTGGGCCCATGTTATCCTATGGCTTTATTGTTCAGTCAGTCTGATCCCCAGATCCAGGATGTAGGTTGGGACTTCTGACTTCACTGGCTGCATGCTTATCCCTGGTCAGGACCGTAGAACATGGACATGACCGCTAGGGAACTAGCTAGCGGCTACGAAATTACATCCGCAATTGCCGTGCACTGTCCGCAGCAGGTTTTATTACATAGAATCAAAAATTGATGAGCCTGCTGGTGGCCCATTCTTTGCCTACATTAAGTCCTCGTTCACACATAGGCGTCTCGCAAACGCGTGCAGGAGAAAAACGTGGAAAATGTGTGATGTACTGCTGTTGTGACATCCGTGTCCGTCCAGTTGTTTCCTCTATCTTGTGATAGTGGAAAAACTGAAAATACCAGACCCATGTGGTACTATGGCGAATGGGATGTAATCGGATGGATGTCCATTTACATCCGATTACCTCCAATCCGGTACAGTCAGGTCTGTCAAAACGGAACTCTTATCTGTTTGTTTTTCCAAAGCCGGGGGTAGCGTATGTAAACAGATGCACATTCATTTAGATCTGGCTGCCTATAAACTAACATGGGGCTTCCAATCAGATCCACCTAAAAAAAACTGGCAGGTGGACCTGATCGGAATACCCGTGTGAAAGGGGCCTAAATGTCCTAGGGTGACAACACTGCTCCTCTATTGATAAGGTACAGTGAGAGCATGTTGTCACTCTAGGACAAGTTGTCATTCTGGAAGGATCACCAGGTGAAAATAAAGACAAAACAGAAAACTAGTGCAGCCTCCACATCTAAGAACTGGAAAGCTGCTATAGATGACATGTTTGTGGTTGAGTTTACTTACACCAAAATTGGAAGGAGATCGCAAGTCAACAGGGTCTGTTGACTGGCAATTTCAACCTCCGTTGACTTCTGTTCCGTTTTCTTTTTTGCCAATCTTTATTTTAATTGACATGTTCTGAGTGGACAAACATCTATGCAGGTTTGTTTTTTTTCTACTTCCGTTGTGTTGCGATTACATCTGTTTTTGTTCCGCTACCTAACATTGTGCTGAAAAAAAGTGGAGCATGCTCTACTTTTTTTTTTTCATCATACTGCAACGGATCGCATCGGTGTAAAGGTGCCCATACACTGTACGATTATCGTACGAGAATCGCGGGAAATCCCGCAATCGTACGATAATCGCAAAGTGTATGGAAGGAAGGCGTGCGACCGTTTCTACTGTACGGTCGCACGTCTTCCGTCGAACAAGAAGGCTGGAAACCCCGCCGAGAATCGGACGATTCTCGGCGGGTTAGTGGCCTGCTTGTTTGACAACTGCCGAACGGCCCGGTGTGCGCACACTGCATGTTTGCAGTCATCGGAAGCCCGCCCCTCATTGCAGTCATCGGAAGCCCGCCCCTCGTTGCAGTAGAGCTGCAGCTAACGATTATTTTCAAAATTGATTAGTTAGCCGATTATTAGGTTCGGTTAATCGGATAAACAATAAAATGAAGTTTAAAAAATGGCTCCAGTGATAGTACTACTAGTTTGTATTGAGATTGTAGTCCATCACAGGAGCAAGCTTGGAGCGGTGGAAGTAAAAAAGATAGAGTGGTGTGCAATATAGTGAAATGGAAAGTGTAAAATTATACAGCAATGAACGAGAATGGCACCGGCTATAGAGGACTACAAAACCCAGCAAAAGCACATTATACAGCGCAATGCAGAATACTGCCAGCTATAGAGGAATACAACAAAGCGTAGCAAGATTCACACCTTCTCCTCCTTGCTACATCTCCCCGCTTCCCTGTGCCGATCGTGGATGGGCAGGAAATGTGAGGCGGGGAGGATGTGCGGCGTGTGGATGCGAGCGGGTCTGGCAGCAATGAGCGTGAGGTGGGGAGGAGGTGCGGCGCACAGCGTGTGGAGCTGTGAACAGGGCCAACTGATCGGAAGCTGATTAATCGATTATTTTTTCACTAATCGATTATAATCGATTATGGTGATTAGTTGTTGCAGCCTTACATTGCAGTCATCGGAAGCCTGCCCCTCATTGCAGTCATCGGAAGCCCGCCCCTCATTGCAGTCATCGGAAGCCTGCCACTCGGGGGCGGGCTTGTGATGATCGCAAGTACCATCTGCCTGTCCAAGATGGGCAGATCGTACGTTTTTTTAATTACTTTACAGCCCTCGCAAGACAGAAGTCTTGCGAGGGTTGTAAAGTGTATGGCCACCTTAAACCTGTCCCAAAATTGATCACAATGGATCAGGTGTGAATGGGGCCTTCCAGTTTGATTTATATGACTGGACAGCTAAGGTTACAGCTTCTCTACTGCTGCGGTATAGAAAAGTAATACTACCAGTTGTAGGTATCAGTGTAAAAACTAGAATTTACAACAGATGTATACAGATGAAGCTTTATGTTCATGCAGATTAAAGACTTGGGACCAGGCACTCTAGGAGTGATAATCAACACACAAAACATTTCCAGGATCCTCTTTCTTTTTTTTTTTTTTTCCTTGAATAAGATTAGCCACAAAAACCTGATAGCAGCTTTAGAGTTTTATTTCAATTAACTAAGCTGCAAATGTAATCACCTCTTCATTTGTTAAGTAGGTCAGTGCGTCTTTAAATGAATTGATAGCAATTTGTGCTGCCAGATATTTAAACAACACAAATCTGATTACTGAGTAATATGTTAGGGAATAGATATATAGGAACCTTTTCTATTTCGCTGACCCTACTCTTTTGCCTAGGCATTAATCCGGTCATATACATACAACAGCTAACAGTATGGAATAAAAGCTTTTCTTCTGATTGCATTAGATGAACAATTTTCCACCTCGGAACCTAAACAGAAACTGTGTCTATATTCTTCTGGTCTTTAAAGGAGAATTGTGGGGTGAGTTAAAAACACTCATCCCCATAATTCAAGCTGAAGTGTCACAATGACGCTGTCACATGTCGACTCTATTGATCGGGAAGTCAGCAAAAGCACACTGCCATTGTTGACCTCCAGATCATCTCCCTGTCAGTCATCGCTCCCCACAGGGATCCCACTGACTGGGGAGGTGCGGGGATAGCTGGCTCTGCCTTTAGAGAGGCTGAGCCAGCTGTCAGTCAGCAGGGTGGATCTCGACAGAACTGTCACGGTCCGTCCTGGCTCGAAGTTCTCAGCATATAGCGGGCAGTAGCCCGCTATATACTGAGTTTTGGGTCCCTGGAGGACACAGTATATGTCCTCCCGTGATCCTGAGGAGGACTATGGGCAAAAAAGGTTGCCCCATAGTTTTTCTTTAAACAAATTAAACCTTGCAGTGGGGCTAACACCCCCCACACACACACACACACATATTGCAAGGGTTAAAGTGGCACTAAACTCAGGAGTTGAATCTTAGAAATGCATTCAAGTATTTTAACTATTGACACAAATGTATATTGTGTATCACTTGGCTGTAGATCCTCAAATCATCTCTGAATTGTGCTGACACTGTCCTTCCTTCTGGAGCGTGGCTACTTATGTTCCCCATGGTCCCTGTGTGTGCTGTAAAGTAGTCACCACTCCAAGCTCGCTCCCGTGAAAGACTACAATAGAACTGCTTAGAACAACCAATCAAAATTTGATTGGGGACAGGATTCTGATGTGGCCATTCTAAAATACAGATTTTTAAATGCTTAATTGTTGTTGAACTCTTGTGTTTGGAATCATTGTCTTGGTCACGTTACCAAACGTATTTTGTGTTTTTAACCCGAGACAGACATTCTGATATTCTGTTCTAGATTTATCAGATACAGCTTCAGTGATGGCAAGTCACCCAGAGGTTAGCGAAGCAGCCTCCTACCTGTTGTCTTTGGTAACCTCTCCTAAACATCATATTTGTTTAATGGTTTTCTTGTGGTAAGTTTTTATAGACACAATTGTTGTCAAGTGCTAGAGATCACTGCAGATCATTCGGCTGGCCATATACTTTTAGAATATCAGCCAATTCGCACGAAGCAGCTGAAATTCTTACAGTGGATGGCCCTGCTGGCTCAGCAAAAGTTCATCACTCATTTAACGTTTGGTGAAGGAGCCGGGCCAAAAATTGTCAGCCAATCAGCTGGCTATCAGAATACAATAGGTGCAGTAGGATGATTCTCCATCAGCACGGTGGTTGGAGGAATCTGTTAGACTATTTTGTTTTGAGCCCAAGGGCTGAACAAAAAAAATCTAATTGTGTGGCCAACTAACTATCGGACTAAAGTTCTTTGTCACCTGTTTCAGAGTTATAGGTTGCTCCCTTTAACTAATCTTTGGGGGAAAAAACCCTCTCCTAGGGAAAGAATCAGATATGACAATATCATCAACTCCTCCCATGCTCGCCTCCAGGACTTCTATAGAGTCTCTCCCATCCTCTGGAACTCTTTACCCCAACCTGTCTGACTATCTCCCACTCTGACTGCCTTTAGGCGATCCCTTAAGACTCATCTCTTCAGGGAAGCTTATCCGACCTCAACCTAACCACTGAGCTATCACTTTCTCAAAAAATCAT